CGTTTTGTTATTTCATCTCATATGTAATCGGTCATATTTTGAGAAACAACGCGCCCTCTTTGGTAAAATTTTTCGAATAGTTTTTTTAGAGCTCGTTTGGTAAAAGTTACGTGATTTTTAGAGCTCGTTTGGTGACTCTATTTTTCAGTTTATTAGACTTATCAATCAACTTTTTAATCAAACACGTAACTTTTGATTTCGCTCGTTGAATTTTGTAATAATAAGAAAAAGTAAAGTTGAACTTATTTTTCTGGCTGTAGTGGCTGAAGTTACTACAGGTGACCATTTTAGCTATTTTTCATATAATCTTTTCTTTATTTTATTAATGAAATATATTTTAAATATAAATTTTTAATAAATCAGTAGAATCAATCAATACAGCCAATTCAGTCAGAACTTCCTAAATTTCAGCAGAATCAATTGATTTCTATGTTACCAAATGGGCGCTTAGTCTTATCTATAGATATTTTCCCATTATATGTAAACACGATCAAACTCTATACATTGAGATCCATCGAGGTGTATGACTGAGCACGGTCCGATAAATGATCAAAATTCGTAATGTATTCGTGATGTTTTTAATGATCGGTACGGTCCGTTTTATGAAAGTTCTTTTCACAATGAACATTTTCTTATAATCTTTATATTATAAATAATTTGCAATAAAAAGATAGAGTTGATCAAAGTTTTGAAAATGACAAATATTTTGGAACGGAGGTAGCATATAATATTATATTGGTGGTTAGTGGTTACAGTTCAACAACCCTCATAAAGAAAGTCAAGCGTGACATATGTTTGGAGGAATTAACATGTAAGAGAGTTACAACTACAAAGCTACGTAATGCATAGTACAAAACTTGATAAACGTTACATTTTCAGCGATGTCATACCTGTATATTAGTTGTGTATTCTTCCATTAATGTCAAGTATCATTTCTGACCACACTAACTCCTCTTAGAGCATCCGCATTCATGCTACTTAAATAAACAATTTTCTTAGTGACAAGTAGATTTTTTAAAGTAATCTCACATCTTCTAAATTATATCATTCATCATCTCAAAATAATCAGATATTTTGTGAGTCCTGCATCCACTAATTAATATTAACTTCACTATAATCCTGTGATAATCTGGATTCATATTTCAATCTCGAATTATTTTGCCAAATAATCTCATCAAATAATCATCATCACTCAATCATGATCTCAAAATAATCCGCCACATCACCAACTTAATCCTCTAATAATCCGATGAATGGAGATACCCTTATATTAGTGGAGAAGGAAATAGAAAGGAAGGATGAGGAGTGTATTAGAGAAGAGCTTCTCTCCCCGGTCATTGTGTTAAGAGCATATCCAATGGGATGATAACTGGGAGTGGTCTACATATCTCATACTTAAGATACTCATGTGGATGGAGGCTTTGGGTTAAAGTACTCAATTAGGAAGTCAATTAGGAAAGATCTTTTCAAATGATGATACTCTTGCTTCTAGGGTTAGATTGATGATACTCGTAATCAATGTTACGCTTGTCTCAAGCGGCAGTGTGAGAGTTGACTTTTTGTTGGAATCCTACGATTTTTTATCAATCACTAGTGAATCTCTCACGAGTTGTATTGTGAATATGAAGACACGTAAATTCAATCAGTTAAGAGTGTTTTCTTGTGCACAGTGGCGTATAAAAAGATATTTGAAATAAATGGAATGAGCGACATGGATTCAGTTCTATCATGGGTTTGAGGTAGGTTTTTAGGTTGTTTTTACTTGGACTATAATTCATCCTAGATCAGACTAGATCAGACTGGACCAAAACAGACCAGACCAGACCAGACTAAAACAGACTAGCCCAGCCCAGACTAGACCAGACCATATTATTATTATTATTATTATTATTATTATTATTATTATTATTATTATTATTATTACTATTATTATTATTACTAGCTTTCAAGCCCGTGCGATGCACGGGCAGTATGTGATTTAGCTAATTTGAAATTTAATTTCTGTCGGATCACATATAATGTGATTTAAAAGAAAAATAAACTTAGTCTAATATAGAGTCTATTTGATAATACTAAAGTAAATAGAATTAACTTCTTTTGCTGAAATTGATTGAATTCTGGTTAAATAGATGGAATCTTTTGAATCATGAAAAATATATGTGAAATATATTCCATTTGTGAAACAAAGAAAAAAATATATGAAAAAAAGTTAAACTGATCTTCTACATAAGCATCTCAAGTAAACATAATTGTTATGAGCCCAATAATAAAAAAAAATCTATATTTCTTAATTGTTAGATCTTACAGTTTACTCATTAATAAGAACGTTTTTAATTGAATTAAAATTTCGGGATTGATTTGGTATGAATTAATATGGTCTATTAGATATCTTTTTATGTGACATATTGTTATAATTATTAAAGTTTGATATGATCTGGTTTAATCTGGAACTGAAATCAATCCAATTAAAAACATTCTATTAAAATAAAAGTAGGAATTCGTAAACCTATAAAGATTTTCTAATTTGGATTAGGAATCTGATGGAGTATATGGGTCTAGACCCCAGGACCCACATACTCAGAAGAATAAGAGGCACAACTGCCACCCAGTGAGGCCTCCGTCGGCCAGATGGCCCTCCATCGACCAGAAAGATATCAACTCAGAACATAGTCCAGAAGCCAGGAGAACCGGGTGTCCCCGTCAACCGGGTCTCCGTCGGCCATGGCTCCGTCGGCCAAACCCTCGTCGGCCACAGAGAGCTCCCAGAACCGGACTTCACACTTATTCACTTCTACATATTTTGTACTCAGCCCAATAGTGACCCATCTGTAAATGGGCCTTCCAAGTCCAAAACTTGGGAGCCCAGCCCTAATTTCCTTTATAAATACTCCTCTTGGGGGTAGTTGTAGGGGGTTCACAAATCATTAATATCAAGCATTTATAGCACTTCTCTCTTTAGCTCTCACTTCTCTCTAGGAGTTAATACTCCATCAGAATCTATTTCAAAAGTGAAGGCATATTTGAATTTTAGGTGTAAAATAAAGAAACAACCATAAAATTTACTTATTTGGCTAAGCTAAACATATTTACTTGTGAAAATATATATACTTTATGTTGGTTATAATTTTTCATTTCATTTTTAATTATTTACTTATTTGAAGCTTACTAATTTATTAATAGGTGTCAAATTAATAAGTAAACTAATTTGCATATTTGTTTCTATTTAATTCGGTGTAGTAAACTAAAATAAATTAGTTTCCATATCAATAAACGTTATTAGAATTTCACTTTGATAACCAAAAATTATTTTACTTATTTGAAGCTTACCAAATTAATTAAGGTGGATTTATAAGGATTTTTGTTTCCATATCAATATGCAATCAAAAATAGAATCTAATAAAAACAAAAGGTACAAAAATAAGTAAATAATTGTTATACATAATGACATGGCAGGATTATGTGCCGTTTTGTATGCTCTTAAAAAGTTCCTCTTATATATATATTGATTATTATTATTATTATTATTATTATTATTATTATTATTATTATTATTATTACTATTATTACTATTATTACTATTATTATTACTATTATTATTACTATTATTATTACTATTATTATTATTATTATTATTATTATTATTATTATTACTATTATTATTATTATTATTATTATTACTACTATTATTATTACTATTATTATTACTATTATTATTAATATTATTATTATTATTACTAGCTTTCAAGCCCGTGCGATGCACGGGCAGTATGTGATTTAGCTAATTTGAAATTAACACCCCTAATTATTATTATTATTATTGTTATTATTATTGTTGTTGTTGTTATTGTTATTATTATTTGTAATTATAAATGAATAAAATATACTCCGTAATTATTTATGGATTATAATATATATATAAAATAAAATCCTTATGAAAAAAATATAAAAATAAAATTTCGGACCAGACCAGACCAGACCAGATCAGACAAGACTAGACCAGACCAAAACAGACAAGACCAGACCAGACTAAAACAGACCAGACCAGACCAGACTATCAAATTGCAGTCCAAGTAAAAACATCCTTAGAGCACAAGATTAATGCGGTGGTTACCTGATATTAAAACAAAAAGGAATGTTTTAGGGAAGGCCTATAATTTTCCTACTTCACGTTATGTGTGAAATTTCTAAAATGTTTCTAGGAGGTATATTTTCCTAGGTCCTACTCAACTTGCAAAAACACATGCATCAAGATTATCATTTTGTTAATCAAGGTGTTGCGAATGAAGATTTAGTTAATCTCTATGACTCTATGTACCCACGCACTCATGGCAGTTGCCATCAATTTTTACCAAAGAAATTTTTCCCTCTGTTTTTTTTTTTTTTAAATTCGATGTGCAAATAATTTCTCTAGGGTTGTAAGAGTGGAAAATTACAGGTCAGGTTATAGTTTGCAATACTATATGTCTTTATAAATAGGGGAAATAGCCCTTAGTAGGACTAAAATAAGCCTAAAATTCAACAATAGGAGTATAATTCCTTTATTCCCAAAATATGACTAATATATATCTCTTTTCCCATTCTACCCCCTTCCTATAATTTCCAATAGATTTATTTTATTAATAATAAAATCATAGTTTTATTTATAATAAAAATATAAAAAATAATAAAATATTTATAAAATAATAATGAAAACGTGAAAAATAAAAAATAAAAAATAAATTATTTATTTTTTTAAAAAAAGTCCAAAAAATAAAATAAAATACCTAAAAAATATTTAAAAAATATGCAGGTCACTGCCAACACGTCCTCTACCTCCCAGCACCACCGGCTCCGGTCGCTGGAAAAAATGCCATCTTGTGTAAAAAATGCCACATTTCTCTGAAAATGCCATAAAGATGACATTTTTACTCTTTGAAAATATCCAGCTTTCTCTTGCTTTCTCTTCAAAATTGCCATCATGATGACATTTTTTCCCCAACTTGGCAATCTTTTCCGGCGACCGGAGGTGGCGGTGCTGGAAGGTGGCTGAGGTGGGGGGTGAGGTCTATATATTTTTTAATTATTTTTTACGATTTTTATTTTGATTTTTTTATATTTTATAATGATTGTTTAAAAATCCTATTATTAAGGACAAGGGAAAGGGTAGAATATGAAGAGTTAGTCCTATTTTGGGAATTTAAACTTTAAACTCCTATTGTTGCAATTATGCTTTTATTTACTCCCGTTTAGGTAAATCTCCCAAATAAATTAGGCTTCTTCTAAAATATTAAATATACATTGTAGTATATAAAATGCACAAATTGTAATAATTATCTACGAGTATGTTTTATTCCTAAAATGAGATTCATTCACTCCTATGTAAAGCAATTTTCTCTTTTTTTTTATAATCCAGATGTCGAGGCTTACGCTCCTATAATCCTGGAGTCTATGAACTACCATCCAAAGCTCCTAGACAGTTAAATCCGGATCTGATCACAGTCAGCCTCGTCAGTACTGGCTCCAAAGGACGAATCCAGCAGGACTTACATCACCTTTCAGGCTGCTCCTCCACCACACGAACCCGCTACCTTCATTACCGTCCTCTCTCTTCTCAGCCGCTGAGCAACTCCGTGAAAGTAAGAAGAATCATTGGGAGCAAGACCTGCCTCATCTCCCTTTGGTGGGAATTGAACCCAAGACTTCTCACAAAGAAGAGACTTGAGAGTGGATGGTCATCCGTTGGAGTACACCCACCTTCCCTTCTCCCCTACTCCTTCTTTTGGAACATAAAAAATCAATGGTTATATTCTAGATAGGTGCACCTAGCTAGCTTTGTCCATAAAATATTGGACATTTAAATAAGGGATTCTGACTTCATTCAGTAGTCATCATCGTACATACCCTTAAACCACCCACATCTAGACCAACAACTTGCAAGCTAAGAGATGAGATCGGAGGGCAGAGCAAAGGCTAAGGAACCCCAGACTCTATATATATAAACATGAGGACCAAACTCTACCCGGCCACCCATCTTTCTTAGCTTCAACTTTAATTGATACAAGCACCGATCTCCTTTATTTGAAGCGGCGGAAATGTCTATGGTGACAGATGAGATAAGGCGCAGCGCCACCGAGTTCTACGTGGGAAACGAACTCTGCCAGGAGAAATCGAAGGTGCTGCTGAGGGAAGTGGGGCTGCCCGCGGGGCTGCTGCCCATGGAGGACATGGAGGAGTGCGGGTACGTCAAGGACACCGGGTTCGTGTGGCTCAAGTCCAAGAAGAAGACCGAGCACAAGTTCCAGGAGATCGGGAAGCTGGTGCAGTATGGCTGCGAGGTGACGGCCAATGTGGAGCAGAACAAGATCAAGAAGCTCACAGGGGTCAAGGCCAAGGAGATGCTGCTGTGGGTCACCATCAGCGAGATCTCCGTCGACGATCCGCCCACCGGGAAGATCTACTTCAAGAGTTCTCTCGGTGTCGGTAAGACTTTCCCAGTTTCGGCTTTCGAGGTCGCGGAGGAGAAGAACACAACGGATGTCAAGGAGGTGTAATGAATTGATCGAAGGGTAGTTATGTTCATCTTTTGTGTTCTTAATCATCCCAGACAATCAGATCTGTACGCGCGTTTGAGCTACGTGCTTTCTCTTCTGTTTTATCAAGTCATTATAGTGTAATAAGTTCTTTGCCGTTTCTGTTCATCATAAAATATATTCTCATCATACCAACTTACAAAATATTCCCCCATCCCTGTTTAACTCCATGTATTAAAGTTACTTTTCACAAGATGTCCCTAAATTAGACTCCCCATTTAAAATTTTGCTCTTCCGGTGGAAGTAGTTCAACGAGTAGCCAGGGAGTGTCACAAAAGTTAGGTTCTGAGTTCGAATCTTGGCAACTAAGATGAGGGGTTACTATGCTAAAAATGCATAAAGTCTCTGCAAGTATCGGAGATAAAGCCTCACTCTTTATCTGTCAGATTGGGGTTATAGTCCAATTTACATCGGGGTTGAGGGGCCCTCAGGGATGGGGTGTCACCCCCCTTTGATTTCGTGGAACGTAGGATAAAGTCAATATGAAAACAATGTTTAGATTTCATCAACATTGTTATTCTTATATCTCAGCGTCAATAAAATACATTCTTCATATTTTTTTTACATATCATTTCATTAAAACATGAATCAAATTTTATAAGTAATGTTTTTTCTGAATAAATATGAAATTTAAAAAAATACTCCCTCCGTCCTATATTTAACTCCGGTTTTGACCGGGCACGGTTTTTAAGACAGTGAGATTTGTGTGCTGGAGAGTTATGCAGAGGAGAGAGAAATGTGTAAGAATGATTGTGAACCACATATTCTTTACCAAAAAGGGAAAAAAGAAATAAATTTGGGACGGACAAAAAAGGAAAGAATGAAGATAATTCCGGAACGGAGGGAGTACACATTTTCTTTTATTACCTTTTTACGATGAAATTTAAAAAATACGCACTCCTTGTTCTGTTTTATGAAGTCATAATAGAATATAATTTTGTTCACCCCTCAAAAGAGGGTGAACATCACCCCACCCCTATTGGGCTGCCACATGGCATGGCAATGCTTTTAAATTAAGAAAAAAGGGGATAACAAGCCACATGGCAACAAATGGGAAGGAGGTTATGTTCACCCTCCTTAGAGCATCTCCAATGCTAAACGTTAACGGTGCATATGTGGCATGAGAAATAACCAATTAAAAAAAAACATAATATCTTTCTCTTTATTTGAAGGATCTTACATTATTTTGGTAAGTTTTTCTTCACAATGTCAAACACAATGTCTAGATGTAGACATTGTAGTTGACATTGCAGATAAAAACTTACCAAAAACACATAAGACCGTAGAAAGAATGAGAGAGAAATGTCATAAAATCAATATTTTGTGTCTATCTCTCTCATGCCACATGTGCACCGTGCACATTGTAGCATTGGAGATGCTCTTAAAGGGGTGAACAAAATTGCACTCGTCATAATAGGTGTCATAAGTTCTTTGCCGTTTCTGTTCATCGTAAAATATATTCTCATCAATAATTCAACACCAACTTACAAAATATCCCCCCATCCCCTTTAACGCTATGCAATGAAGTTACTTTTCAATATGTCCCTTAATAAAATACTTTATTTATTTGTGGTTTATTAGGTAAGAAAAAGTAAAAGTTAACTTTTGAAACTATCCTTGATATGGTTTATTAGGGAAGTAGTGGTCCAAATAAATTAATACTCCGTAAGTACATTCAAAAAGTAACAGTTTATCAAAATAAAAATAAAATAATGTTGGAAGTTGATTTTGGGACACTCTACCGTCTCTACGCATGAAAGATGAAGTTAATTTAGACAGGAATTTGTTTTATCTATTCGTGAATAATAATCGTTATACAATCATTACCATCAGTGGCGGAACCAGCTTCGTGATCTTGGAGAGGCACATTACCTCAGAAGGTTCGACTCTTTACTAACTTTAGAAATCTGTGTACAAAATCGATTCATATGAATTCTTTGTCAAACTTGAGCCTGACTATCCACAACAATAAAAAATAACAAGCTCAGTACATGGCTATAGCCCAAAATACACAATAGCAAAGTCGCTACGCCAGTCACCTCAAAACAATAATGCTCTCGATCAGTCGCTAGACCTAATGGTCGCCAGCGTTATTCACTTATTCCTGTCTAATTCCGGCGAATTCCAAAGAAACTCTCTCAATGTAATCAACCCTCCAAGTTTCAACGTTACTAGTCGAGCTCATAAATATATTACTCCCTTTGTTTTGTTAAGATTTTCTTACATTTTCTTTTCAGTCTGCCTCATTAACATTGATCAATATCAAATTTGATTGTGGTTCTAAATTATTTTTACATTCAAAAGTTGATTGTCGACCACCCTGTATAATATGTATGTATAGAGTCATTCTCCTGTCCAGCAGCCCCCGGTCCGAACATCGTCCGAACATTGCCGTTTGGGGAGGTTCCAGGTGGAATTTTTTCATGAAATATTTTGAGCATGTTCCTCATCAAGTCTAGTTTATTCATACCAAATTTAAGCTTAAAATTCGATCACAAAGGCAGTCAAACAATTTGTTGAAGTTAACTGCGCCAAATTATACATAGAAAAACGCAGTTAACTTCAAAAAATTATTTTACTGCCTTCCCTATCGATTTTTAAGCTGAAATTTAATATGGATAAACTAGACTTGATGAGGAACATGCTCAAAAAATTTCATCAAACAATTCCACCGGGAACCGCCCCAAACAGCGGTGTTCGGACGGCGTTCGAACGGAAACATGCTAGACCTGAAAATTTCTCTCTATATACTAGTATATAATAAAAAGAAATCTGCAGAGCTGCAGGGGCACAAGCACCCCCAAGATCTAGTGTAGTTCCGCCCCTGATTACAATGTCATGAAATAGTAGAATGTGTGAATAAAAGTACTAATGAATAATGATTGTTTAAAATGTAATTACGGAAGTTAAAAAGACTTTTTTTAATTCATGGACTTTTAAAAAAGTCTGAAATTTAAAGTCCGTACATTTCTTTATGAATGAATTCTATTGACTTATAAATCCATGGATAAGTTTATAGATTTTTAAAAAGTCCATAGACTTTTAAATCTGGATTGTCACTACCGATCATCAGAATTTTCACCTAGATCGCTGACGAGCACTTTGTCACGGTGCGTCAAAATAAATTCAATACTAACACTTATACGTAGTATAGCGTAGTAGAGTTCGTATCCACAGGGAAATGAATAATTCTCTTTTTATGAAACTTAGTAAATAAAGGGGGGTTTTGGTGATGAATGATTTAATTAAATTAAAAACTAAGATGAATGACCTATATGAGATTTAATTCAAAGATAAAAAGGACTTGGCATTGCTACTTTCCACTTGTTGATATATTTTAGTCGATCATTGTTATATCTATAACTTATTCCCTCTCGAATACTCAATCGGGGAGTATATCCACTTCATCGAGGGTAGCCATTAACAACAACCGTTCATTAATAACCCTTACCATTAATCAAATATAGAACAACGCCTTATACCGATTTAATAGTAGCATTTAATCTTTCTAACTCCTTGATGAAATCAATTGAGATTGATAACCTCAACACAACGGTTTCGGTTTAACCAACAAAATTAATCCCTCTTAAGTTTATTAACCACGACTGTGCATTAATAAACCGAAGTTACTTACTTGTGAAATCATCAACGATTAACCATCGGTTCGTTGATCGTTTCTAGTAATAATTAATATATGAAACAAAACTAGTTGATCCTTTAAGTAATGTTCAAAATATTAATATGAAATATGAGTAGGGATTAATTAATATTCAAGGAAGAATATTATTAAAGAAGATGAATCCTACTATAATTAATATCAAGATGTTAACTAATTGTCATCTTAGCAACACTCCCCAACATTAATATAGAGGAAGAAAATACCATTCTAACTAATGTCGAGATGTTAACTAATTGTTATCTTAGCAACACTCCCCAACATTAATATAGAGATGGTATTAAGGAAAGAACTATTAATTAATATTCAAGAAAAGAAGTTAAGAAAATAACTCACAACTTTAATAATCAACAAGCTTTAAGAGCAACACCAAGAATGGAAGTTTAGCTCCTCATTTGGAGACTAAACATAACTAGAAAATATAAAGAAATGCTATTCTAAACTGAGCTTAAGAGTATGAAAGAAGGAATGATTTTTAGAGAAGAAAAAAAGTGCTATTTATAGGTGTTTTTCAACACCTTTGGCCGGGTACCCGACCGGGTCCGGTCAAAATCTGATATTTCACCACGTTCTGGTGATCTTCGCACACCGGGTTGTCCCCGGTCACTTCTCACCCGACCGGGTGAAGTTCCCTACCCGGTCGGGTATTTGCTCATGGACAGTCAAAATTCCTTTTTCTTCACTTCAACATCCTCCTTTCCAACATCCTAATTCCTAATTCTACTTTACAACTTACAAATGAGAACTAAAATACAATTAAAACTAAAATCACACAAATGTTTACAAACTAAATAAAACGTCAAACAATCACCATCAATGAAACATAAAAACATATAATTATGCACTACTAATTAGTGTGCATCAAACACCCCCACACTTAAACCTTTACTCGTCTCGAGTAAATCAAATCCAATCCAAGAAGTCCTTTTAAAAATGACAAGAATATCAACGCAAAACATCCAAGAGTGTTTTTACCACAATATAAAGCATCCCCAGCAGTAATTAAAGTAAAACGGGGTCTTCAACTTCATCTTGATCTCCATTTCTCTTTTAAGCTTATCACCTTCAGGATCCTGCAAAATAGACATTTCTCTCATTCTCTCGTTTTGCCTAGATGCCCTTTCAGGTTTTCATCCCAGCTTCTCACATTTTTCTTTTAATTCTCACAACCTCACTCTTTATTTTACTGCTTTAATTTTTGCTTGAGTTGCCCTTTGTGGGTTTTCAACTCAACAAGCTCTTTTTTTTAAGAAAATAAAATGAAAAAGAGTAGGATTGTGAGCATACCAGAACAATCTCTGCACCCCCACACTTAGTATCTGGCACTGTCCCTAGTGCCCGCCTAGACCTCCACCTTGGTGTCTGTCCTCATCCATGTGATCCCCGCCAAAACCACCATCATCGCCTCCACCACCGGAACTCGATCCTCCAAAGTAACCCCACTGAGAGGGGTCATACCATGATGGTGCGGGAGGGGGAGTGGTCATAGAGGAAAAGGAACCTTGGTGTGCTACATAGGAGTATATCGGACCAAAGGTTC